GGGACTCTGTGTGTTGCTGCCATAAGCCCAAAGCCTGGAGCACAGGATGTCTGATAAGGGGAAGATGGAAGGAGAGCCAACCAGCCTTGAAAACTCAATCCCAGGGGCGCCTGGGTGGCTCAGTCGTTAAGCGTCTGCCTTCGGCTCAGGTCATGATCCCAGGGTCCTGGGGTCGAGCCCCACGTCGGGCTCCCTGCTTGGAGGGAAGTCTGCTTCTCCCTCTCCCACTCCCCCTGCTTGTGTTCCCTCTCTCACTGTGTCTCTCTCTGTCAAATAAATAAAATCTTTAAAAAAAAAGAAAGAAAACTCAATCCAGAACTTTCCTTTTTTGGACTGCAACGCCACTCCCCAGTGCGGACTGAAGTGGAAAGCTGCCTTCTTACAGTTTTGCACAAACCGCACCCCCCCTCCGTCCCCACCCCGCCCCCAGTGCAGCCTGACCCTGTGGGCTGACACTTGTCTCTCAGGAAGAGTCCCTCTCCCTCTGGGCTCTCCACACCCTCAGGGTAATGTCCCAACTCTGCGAAGTTCCTTCCAAGGGTCTGCAGGACCCAGTCGCAGGCACTCCCACCTCCCTGGGCCTCACTAATCAGTCACTGGGGCTTCGCAGGGTCTGTTCCCATCTGTTGGGTGCATCTTACCTTGTCTTCCCTCTTGCTTTGCTGAAGCATTTCTTTTTTTTTAAAGATTTTATTTATTTGACAGAGAGAGATACAGCGAGAGAGGGAACACAGCAGGGGAGTGGGAGAGGGAGAAACAGGCTTCCCGCGGAGCAGGGAGCCCGATGCAGGGCTCAATCCCAGGACCTGGAATCATGACCTGAGCCGAAGGCAGACGCTTAACGACTGAGCCACCCAGGCACCCCTTTGCTGAAGCATTTCTAAATCAATTTCAGACATCATCTTATTCCACACCTGTATACTTACATGTATCTTTTTAAAAATACAAACTTTTTATTTTTTTAATTTTTTTTTAAAGATTTTTATTTATTTATTCATGAGAGACAGAGAGAGAGAGAGAGGCAGAGGGAGAAGCAGGCTCCCAAGGAGCAGAGAGCCTGATGCGGGATTCGATCCCAGGACTCTGGGATCATGACCTGAGCCGAAGGCAGACGCTCAACCATCTGAGCCACCCAGGCGCCCTATTTTTTTAATTTTTAATTTTTTTAAAAAGATTTTATTTATTTGACAGAGAGAGACACAGCAAGAGAGGGAACACAAGCAGGGGGAGTGGGAGAGGGAGAAGCAGGCTTCCCGCTGAGCAGGGAGCCCGATGAGGGGCTCAATCCCAGGACCCTGGGATCATGACCTGAGCCAAAGGCAGACACTTAACAACTGAGCCACCCAGATGCCCCAATACAAACTTTTTAAAATAATCACTATGTCACTATCACATCTAATGAAGGTAGCAACTTTTTTTTTTAACTTTATTTTTTTTCTAAAGCAAACTCTACTCAAATGTGGGGCTTGAACTCACAATTCCGAGATCAAGAGTTGCATGCTTGGGTTAGAGACATTCATTCCCTCTGTTTTTCTTTTTCTTTTTTTTTTTTTAAGATTTTATTTATTTATTTGACAGAGAGAGACACAGCGAGAGAGGGAACACAAGCAGGGGGAACGGGAGAGGGAGAAGCAGGCCTCCCGCGGAGCAGAGAGCCCGATGCGGGGCTAGATCCCAGGACCCTGGGATCATGACCTGAGTTTAAGGCAGACGCTTAATGACTGAGCCACCCAGGCGCCCCTCCCTCTGTTTTTCATGGTAGGAAAAACACTGCAGAAACCAGAGCCCTTTAGGCCCAATGCGTCATACTCCTATAAGAAGAAACTGCCAGGGCACCTGGGTGGCTCAGTCGTTAAGCGTCTGCCTTCAGCTTAGGTCATGATCCCAGGGTCCTGGGATCGAGCCCCGCATCGGGCTCCCTGCTTAGCAGGGAGTCTGCTTCTCCCTCTGCCTCTGCCCCCCACTTGTGCTCTCTCTCTCTCAAAATAAATAAATAAAATCCATATATTAAAAAAGGCCACCTAATCTGACTGTATTAATATGAAATGTTCAGAATAGGCAAATCCATAGACACAGAAAGGAGATTAGTGATTGCCAGGGACTGCAATGGGGGGAATAGAGCGAGACTGCTAATGGGTAGGGATTTCTTCTGGGAGTGATGAAAATGTTCTAAATTAGATAATGGCTCCGCTGCCCACTTTATGGGCATAGTAAAAAACCCTGCACCTTACACTTCAAAAAGGTGCATTTTATGCTATGTGAATTATATCTTAATTTAAAAATGTTTCTCATAGACTTTTAACCATAGAGAACACACTTGTGGTCACCAGAGGTGGTGGGGACAGGTGATGGGGAGGAAGGAGGGCAACTGTGGTGATGAGCTCCTGGTGATGTATGCAAGTACTGAATCACTATACTGTGCACTTGAAACTATTAGAACACTCATGTATGTTTTTGTTGGTTTTTTTTTTTTTAAAGATTTTATCCATTTATTTGACAGAGAGAGACACAGCGAGAGAGGGAACACAAGCAGGAGGAGTGGGAGAGGGAGAAGCAGGCTTCCCGCTGAGCGGGGAGCCCGATGCGGGGCTCGATCTCAGGACTCTGGGATCATGACCCAAGCAGAAGGCAGACGCTTAACGACTGAGCCACCAGGTGCCCCAACACTCATGTATGTTAACAGGAATGAAAACAGTTTAAAAAATGCAGCAGATAACAAAGACAATTTGCAAAAAAACCCAAAAACTTTTAAAAAGATTTTACGTATTTGAGAGAGAGAACACACACGTGAGGGGGAGGACAAGCAGACCTGGCACTGAGCACGGAGCCCCACGGGAGGCTCCATCCCGTGACCCTGAGATCAGGACCTGAGCCAAAGCCAAGAGTCAGAGGCCCAACCCACTGAGCCACCCAGGCGCCCCCCAAGTCAACATTTCTCCCCGCTTTTGTCCCTAGAGGCCCAAAGAAGAGAACTGCGGATACGTCGCCCCCACCGCCCTCTGCTCCCGGAGTTTCATAGAGAGCCTAAGGCGCCCCTGCACCAATGCGCAGGCGCCGTTCTTGGTCGGAAGGCGCCCGCGGCTCGCCCCGCCCACGCCAGAGGACTCCTCCCACTTGTCAGGCCTGCTCCACCTCCCTCGAGCCCGGGCACGTGCCTGGCGGCCCGCCGTGGGCGCCAGTTCGCGCTTGCGCCGAGACGCGAGCGCGCCCAGGCAGCCTGCAGGCCCGGGGCGCCCGGAAGTGGCCGCGCCGCCGCGCTTCCGGCCTTTCCCGAGCGGGCCGTGGGAGGGGCCCCGGGCCGGGAGCCCAGCGCCGAGCGCGGGCGGTGACCCGACGCGTCCCGCGGCACAGGCTGGTCCTGGGCCGTGCGGGCCGTGCGGTCTTCCACGACGGCCCGCCTTGGCTCGGTGCAGGAAGGCGGCCGCAGACCTCGGAATCCCACGTGGTCGTCTCACGTCATGAACTCTCCTTTCATCTCTTCAGTCGCGTAAAATGCAAAATCCATGCTTGGCCCCCTGGCTGTGCAGCCCCCGGCACCCGCGCCCACAGGCGGGGCGCGGCCGCGGGCGGGCTGGGGCTCCGTGTCCACCGCCCTCCGCTCCAGCCGCCCGGAGAGGGAAGCGCTAGAGGCTCAGCCTGGTTCCCCTTTGCAAGCTGTCTCAGCATCCCGTTCCCGTTTATTTCAGTGGATTTTTTTTTAAAGAACCTAATTCTTCCAAGATTTAGTATTTTTAATTGTAGTAAGTGGACAACTTAATTCTTTTGGATTTAAAGCATGCCTTTTTGCAGCTGTCCGTTTCTACTGCTGATCACATCTGCAGAGGCTGCATCTTGAAGACATGCTGGTCCCCGTCACCTGCCTGAGCCTGGGGACGGAATGCTCTCCTCCGGCTGTCTTTGCAAAGTGTTGGCTCAAGGGCGTGCACCAGCCAGGTACCACTGACGCTATGCTTGGTATTTGTGGGTCTGAAGAGTGAGGCCTGGGGACAGGATTTAGGCCAGCCACTGTTCACTGGAAATACGTGACTCATACGTAATTTAAAATTTGCTAGTAGCCACATTTACAAAAGTAAAAATAAACAAGTTTAATTTTATTTTTTTTTAAGATTTTATTTATTTGCGAGAGAGAATGAGAGACAGAGAACATGAGAGGGAGGAGGGTCAGAGGGAGAAGCAGACTCCCCGCCGAGCAGGGAGCCCGATGCGGGACTCGATCCCGGGACTCCAGGATCATGACCTGAGCCGAAGGCAGTCGCTTAACCGACTGAGCCACCCAGGCGCCCAACAAGTTTAATTTTAATGTTTTATTTAACTCAATACATCCAAAATGCAATTTCAACATGTAAGGAATATCAAATAAGAATATAAAATTAAAAAATGCATTTTGGGGGGTACTAAGTCTTTGAAACCTGGTGTGTGTTTTACACTTACAGCACATCTTGCTTTAGACTAGCCACATTTCAGGCACTCAGTAGGCAGGTCTAGTGGCCACCATATTGGACATCGCAGACTTAGGTGAAATGAAACACGGATTGTGGAGAAAAAAATGTGTGTGATTCCATGAGGGAAGAGATGGCTCCTCAGCTCACCGTCCTGGGAAATGGGCTGAGTTAAGGTTTTTAGGAGGGCAGCTGCAGGACATGGCCCTGCCAGCCAAGTGACACACCTACCCAGGCCCCCCATGGCACCCCCCCCATACACTTAACTATTGCACTCTTTCTGGCTGAATTCGGTGAACGGAATGAGGTAATTCCTCATTTATTGGTCAGTGTGTGAAGTCACCTGCACCTCAATGTGCACCTCAATTAGTGTGTTGTTGATGCTGAATTGGGTTTTCTGATGGAGGGTGGGGTAATGCATATGTTTTAGAACAGGACTTAGCCATTGGGACCCGAAGTTGTTGGTGGGGCCCGTCCCCTGACCTCTCATGTTGGGGAGAGGAATTTGAGGGAGAAAGACAGCTCAAGGGAAAGTAACAAAATATGTCCAGGACCCACAGCTCAAAACAGAAGGGACTTTACTTAAAAAATTAAAAAAAAAAAAAAAATCTCCACACCCAATGTGTGGGTCAAACCCACAACCCCGAGATTAAGAGTCCAATGTTCCACTGACTGAACCAGCCAGGCACCCCAACAGGTGGGACTTTAGTTTTAGGGGAAGCAGGAGTTTCATCTAGATGATGAATTTTATTGATGCTTCATTTGGAGGCTAAGGACAGGCCTTTTTCCTTTTGAGTCCCCCGTTCTTCCTGCTGCCACGTGCACACATGCACTGTGAGCCTTGCTCCCAGGAAAGCCTTCAAAGTCTCCTCAGGGCCTGAGGGGCTGCAACCTGGGCTGCTGCTCTGGGAATGTAGGACTAAGATTAGGTAAAATTAGAAACATCTGAGCTGGCGTGGCTCCACCCTTTCCCCCTCACTGACTGGCGCGATCAGAGGCTGTGAGGGAAGAGGGGTGTCTAGAGGACCCTTTTCCTCAAAATCAAACCTTTGTTTTGCCTGGTTGACTCTTCTCCAGCCCAGCCACACCTGCGTCTGTGGGGACAGGCTGGCCGGCCACAGGGAGCAGCATTTCCATGCCTCTGTCCGCTTGTGCCATTTGGTCAAGGCCTCCAGTCCCATAGCTCCCCCGACAGAGCTGCCCAGTGCTCAGGGCGTGAAGCTGGGGTGGGCACACACAGCACAGACTGACACCCACCACCAGGGGCTCTCCAAGGACAGGGATCACACGGAGTCACCTGAGAGGAAAAACACTGCGGTCCAGACGCGGAGCTCAGGCCCACATAAAGTCAGGGCAGAGGTATGGGGCTCTGTGCCAGGAAAAAGCAGTTCCACAGACAGGGAAGCCCCAAACCGCAGATCAGAAAGACAGAGCTAGACTGGCTCTGGTCCTGTTTATTACAAAATAATGATTCCAAATCTGGTATAAAAAAGACCCCAGACAGTCCCCAGTACACCTGCCATGCCCCCAACCCACAAAGTCACTCCCTCAGGCACCTGAGCATGCGGGGCTCTCAGATGCGAAGGTCCCCAGCCAGGAGGGCACTGTACCGGGCAGGTGTGAGGGGCAGGTAGGCACCCCCAGCCTGGTCCAGAACATAGAGGGGGTCAGACAGTGTGCTTGGGTCAAAGCCCTCCTTTGTCATCCGCACCTTCTGCTGCTTGAAGGTCTCCGTGGTGGCCAGAGACTCCTGAGGAGGGGCATCAAAAGGAGTTGAAGGAAGGCATATTCTGCCCAGTGGTTCAGGTGAGTCAAGGGACTGAAGTTTGTCAAGGGGCAGGGAAAAGGAGGTATGAGGTCAGAGTTTAGGGGACGGGGTGACAGGGAAGAGAAGGACACAAGCCTGGAGGAGGGCAGAGGGAATGAAGGGGGGCAAAGGAGTGCATGTCTGGGAAGGAGCTGTTCTTTCTCTTCACGGAGAGTATCACGTGAGGATCCCTGTGTGGGGTTTGGGCACTACCAGCTGCTGCAGATGACCAGGAGGGGGTGGGGGGGGGAGGGGGGGAGCAGGAGCAGCTGATTACCTGGAGCCTTAGGAATCGAGGCCAGGCATACGGTGGCAAGTTCTCAGAAACATGGGTGTAGAGCTGCACAAGGTCCAATGAGTGGGGGGGACGTAGAACCAGGGCCGCCATTCCAGCTCTGCCTTCGTGCCCTGGTGGTCAGTGGGGAAAGGTCAGCTGTGGACCACCCTCCAGCTTCATGTTCCCTGGGCCCAAGTAATACCAGGTCAGGGCAGTGGGCCAGCTGCCTCCCACCTCCCGTGTCTTGGCACCTGGCACGGTGACTCCGTAGATGTTCACCTCCTGAAGAAAATCCAGGGACTCCAAGGCTTCCGCCACCTCAGTCGTGGCCACGTTCTCCCCTTTCCACCTGCAAGAGGGCAGAGATCCTGGGCCTTAGAAGGTGGGTGGGGGGAAGACACAGGGTGCCAGATGCTCACAGAGAAGAAGTGTTCCAGAGGTCTGTCTGACAGGAGAGGTTAGATGAGGGGCTGGGTTTGGGTGTGTCTGGGTGCAAGTTAGGGAGATAGGTTTAGGGGCTTCGGGTCACAGAGACTGGATGTCTGGGAAAGGACTCAAAGTCATGGACAGATACCTGAAGGTGTCTCCAGTACGATCGTGGAAGCGGAGAAAACCCTGGTCATCGCAGACCAGCAGGTCCCCAGTGTTGAAGAAAACATCCCCAGGCCGGAAGACATCCTTTAGCAGCTTTCCCCGGCCCAGCTCTGGCCCCCCAGCGTAGCCCAGGAATGGGGACTGCTGGCTCACTGGGGCCACCAGGAGCCCTGGCTCACCTGGCAGAGTCACTGGAGTCAGGGGTGACTGCCCACCTCACCCAGAACCTCCTGCCCCTCACCCCACTGTCTAATCCCAATCCTCCTTTGCCATCTGCACCACCCCCACCCACCCCACCTGAGCACGAACCTGGACATGTGGCCACACAGTGCCCCTGAGTGTCCCGAATTGGCTCCCCTGTGGTGACATCACAGCGAATCAAAGAGAAGGGGAAGACATGCTGGGGAAAGGGAGACCCAGGCACTGGGTCATTTCAGTTGCATGAGCCCCCTCCCTGCCGGCCCCCACCTTCCATGGGATCCCCAGTTTCTTCCCCACCCTTCCCTTACCTTGTAAAGCCAGGAAGCACGTCCCACAGCACCCAGCTGTCCTGTGTAGTTGAAAGTGGCAACGTTGCCCTCTGTTAGTCCGTAGGTCTCCAGCACCTGCAGGGGCCCAAAGCGCCGCACAAAACGCTCCCAGGTGTCCGGGCGCAGCCCACTGCCCACCGCCAGCCGGACCTTATGTCCACGTTCTGCCTTGCTCTGAGATGAGGAGAGATGGGCAGAAGGTTCACCACCAAGACGCCAACTCCCAAAAGTGAAGTCCTGTTTCCCACTCCCCTGGAGCCCCTTCCACGGTGACCTCACTCAGATATCCTGTCATCCCAGGCCCCTCACCCCGCCCTGCCGTTCTCTTCCAACTCCCAGACCACTGTCTCAGCGTCTCCCATGAAGTGCCCACCTCCCTGCCTGGGCAGCTCTGCCCTGGACCTGTGCCCACGCACCGGGGGCTGGTTGACAAGGTATCGGCATAGTTCCCCGATGTACTGGAACACTGTCACCCTGTGCTGCTGGCAGTCCTCCCAGAACTGGCCAGCCGAGAACTTGGACTTCAGCACCACTGTGGCCCCTGCCAGAAGTGGAGGAGGGGGGAGGAAGGACGGTGAGGTTAAGGGCTATGGGGGCGCCCTGACCACCTCCTTCCCAGACACTAGTCCTCAGTGCAGTGTGTAGTCCCTGGGAAGGCCCTGCTGGGACATTCAACAGCAGGCCCAACTTGGCCTTCTTCCTTTCCCACCTGTGCCTCAGGGAGGTCAGTGCCCTTTCTCTACTTCCTGTCCCCACATAGTCCGTGCTCCGTACCCTGCCCCCAAGTCCCAACCTTCTCCATCTGCTTCTTCCTGGGCTGACATCCACAGCCCTTCCCCACCCCGACCTTGGAGTCTGGAGTTCTGTGAACGATACGGCCTCCTTAGCCAGTCTGTAGGTTGTGCAGGTGATGCTACTCTGCTGTACCAGGAGCTCTTGGAGAGGAGGCCCTGCCTCCTTCTTCCTCTGGATTCTCTACCCTGAAGGACTCAGGAAGCATCCCGAGGTGTGCATACCACTTAGGTACTTAATAAATGTTTGCTAGAAAAAACATCTGCTGGAGGACTAAAGGTGGGGGTTGGACTGGGGTGGGAGTTGGGGAGACTGACCAATGCCCAAGCAGCCCACAATGCCCAACAGGGAGCCGGACATGTGGTAGAGTGGGAGGGCAAGGTAGATCACATCCTCCTGGTGGGCTCCGCACAGCTGGTAGAACGCCTGGCACTGCAGAATCTTCAGATGACTGATCCGAGCAGCCTTGGGGAGGCCTGTGGGTGGTGGGGGGAGACCCGGGGAAGGGTCTGAGCTTCAGGCCCTGCCTCCCTCTGCCCCTGGTTTCCCAAAGAAAGAGGCAGAGGCAAGGCTGAAGCTGAAAAGAAGGGAGGCCAAGCTGTCCTGGAAATGTGGGAAGTTCAGGGAGGTGGAGAAATTAGTATGATTCTCGGGACCAGCATGGAGGGGCGGGGAGGGTTTGGAGGAGTGGCCTGGAAACTGAGGCCATAGTTCCTGTCCCCAGCCCCCTGCCTTCCTCTGCCTAGTTTCTGGGAGGTAAGGCCAGTGCTCACCCGTGGTGCCAGAAGTGAAGATGTACAGGCACGTGTCCATTATGCTCTGGGGGGCAGATAGGTACCCCGGCACTGGCTCATCCACTTCAGCGGAGGCCTCAGCCAGCAAATCGCTGATTCCAGCAGAATGGGTTTCAGGGCCTGCAGCCCAGAGACGGAGCCCCATGGCTCTCAGGGCTGGCAGGTCAGGCTCCAGGGACTCCAAGAACTCTGGATGAGGTGGGAAGGCATAGCTTGGGGACCCAGAATTCTCCACCCCACAGCCTATTTGCAACCCCCCCCGCCCCTCCCCCCCCGCTTCACTGCTCTTGGGCGAGAAGAGTAGGAACATCCCATCACCGTTCTGGGAACCAAAGACCCAGCTCCATCCCTTCGCAAACCCAAAGACTCAAGTCCCCGAGCACCCTTTCCGAACCCCCTCGAGGAGGCTCGGCTTCCTTCCCCCTCCCCGCCCCCCACCGACGCGCCCCTTTCCGAGGCCGGTCCCGCCCCCGCTGGCCTCGCGCTCCGGCCCTACCTGGCGCCAGCACGAGCGCGCGCGCGCCGCAGTTGCGGAGGCAGTGCAGGAGGGGACCCCGGCGCAGGGCGGCCGGCACAAAGGCTGTGCGCAGGCCGGCCTTGGCCAGCCCGAACCAGAGCCACAGGAACTCTGGGCAGGCGGGGAGGAGCAGCGCCACGGTGGCCCCGGGGGCCAGAGGGGCCGCGGCGCCGGCAACTCCCGCGGCCCGCTCGTCCTCTGCGCCGCCGCCGAGCTCCGCGTCCCAGCCCTGGGCGCGCAGGAAAGCGCGCGCAGCCCGGTTGCTCTCGCGCTCGGCCTCCGCGTAGCTGAAGCGTCGCGCGCCGTGGATGAGGAAGATGTGTGTGGGGCGCTGCCCGGCCAGTTGCGCGAGGCGCCAGGCCAGGCTGCAGCCCCCCTCGGGGCCCCTCGGGTCGGCGGCGGCCGCGGCCAGGGCGCGCGCTCGAAGAGCCCGTTTGCAGCGTAGGGCGCGCACCGCGAAGGCCAAGTCGGCCGCGAGCCAGCGCAGCCGGGGCCAGAGGTGCAGCTTCCGCAGCAGCAGGAGTGGCAGCAGCAACAGGGGCAGCAGCAGGAGGGCGGCCATGGTGCCCTCGTCCCTGGCGCGGCCCAGAGACTCCCTTCCGAAAACGGGCCGCTCGCTTTTGCTCGGAGACCTCTCCCTCTTGGGAGCGCGCGTGCGCCGGCACACGCCCCTTCCCACCCAGCTCCCCCCTCCCCCCTCCCGGTTCCCCACGGGCTGGGAGCCGAGGCCGGGAGTGCGTGGGAGGCGGCCCCGCGCTCTCCGCCCTCCCCACAGCCGCGCTCCGCCCTGTGCGCGCTCCCTCCCAGACAGCCGGCGGCCCAAACCCTCCCAGGTCCCGGTTCAGGTTTTCTCCCCAAGGGCGCTTCTGGCATCTGGCTGAACTGTGGCGTCCCGGCCTAAGGATGCCATTGCTCTCCCCCAAAACTGGCCGGAGAACTCGGCCCCTTGCCCACTTGGCGCTGCAAGACCCGGCCCGATTGCCAGACCCGTGCTCTCCCCCAGCGCCAGCAGCAGCCCCAGGGGATGGGTGGGGGCCCAGCCAGCCAGAGTTCTGGAGGGGCTACTGCGGAGGCCCCTCCTTCCGGGCAAGGGCACAATAATTGGGGCCAGCCAGCGAATGCTTTCCATCCTGGTTTTAATTGGGGCAGAGAGAACGGGAAGGGGAGAGGAAGAGGCCTCCTGCGACTAAGACTTTTAAAGGAAGGAATAACAGCTTTGAAGAAGGGGACACTGGATTCTGCAGGAGCCCTCTGTCCTGCGCCAAGACCTCACTCCTCTCTCTTCCGTCGGCCACCCAGCCTCCTGGGCAGCCTAGGGGATTCTTTTCTGCTGGGACACAGGGGACAGACAGCAAGTGGCCAGACTGTGGAACAAAGAGGGTTGGTTCCTTCTTGCTGGCATCTGAACTCTCCCCACCAGGCCTACTTCTGTCCATCAGAATCCGAGTTGGCGGCATCCTTCACCCCCAAGCAGTCCTCCAAGGGTTGATAAGCACACAGATCTACTAAGACTCACTTTCGGGAGCCTCTAGTTTCTTGACAGAGAAGTAGGGTTCAACTTCACGGGAGATGGTGCCTGGACAGGTCAGTGCCTGGCCCACAGCCCCAGTGGCAGCAGGAAGTCTGGGCAGGAGGGGGGCAGCAAAAAGTCCCTCCTGCTCCAGACAAGGGGGTGTTCGGGAAGGGAAAAGGGGAAGTTCTGAGGCCACCAGGGGAGTGGGGGCAACCAGTTAGGTGCACAGGGTAAGAGCACCTGGGCCAGCAACTCCAGCACAAAAGAGGTTCTGGCTTGTTTTATTGTCATTTAAAAACTTTTAAAACGCGATTATCTCTGCCAAAAAAACAAACAAACAAACAAACAAAAAACCCCAAAAAGACAGAACCGAGGAAATGGGACCATTTGACAGTTCTGTGGAAGTCTCTCTCTGGGAGTCCCAAAGGCTCTGGCCTCCCTCTCCCCTCAGTCCCTGCCTGAACTCTTATGGCATCTGCCCCATGTTGAGGAACAGGCAGGCAGCTGGACCACATCACTGATGAAATGCCCATTTCACACGGGAGGATGGAGAGCAACTATAAAATGCCTGTTAGGAGCAAATCAAGGCCGGACGGGGAACATGTGGAAGGGGCATCCATACACTGTCTTCACTCCAATCCTGGCCTCTCTGACCAGCAAGCCCCATCTGCCATTTCTCTTCTCTTTGGGAGGCTGGGGAGGGGCAGGGGCTGAGGACCTGCACCAGCCCAGATTTCACACAGCCTCTGGCTTCAGTGGGACCCAAGTCGGTGGGAGCAGCAGTGTGATGGGGCTGGAGGCGCCTGGACAGGAGGGAGCAGGGGCTGGGGCTGCATGGCAGCTTCTCAGGCTGAGCCAAAGGAAGCAGCTCATCCTTCCCACCAGGCGAGCCTTGGGCAGAGGGAGAGGGTGTCTCCCCACTATCTCCCCAGCCCTCATTAACCTCTGATTCACCAAGGAGGGGAGGGCAGTCCAACATCGGGTGGGATGGAGGAACACGGGGCCTCAGTCACTGTCAGACCCCACTGCAGAGGACCCTTTCCGTTTCCTCTTGGTAGGCTTCGGTTTTGTGTCTTCTTCCTCCTGGAAGAGATTGGGGGGGGGGCAGTCATTAGCCTGAGCAGCTACTAGTCCCAGCCCCACCCGCCCCCAATGTTCCTGCTGCTGAGCAGAGGTGAGGGCTCTCACTGAGGCACTGCTGGAGCCTGACTCTTCCTCAGCATTGGGGGGCTGTGTGGCATTCTTTCGACTGCGGGGGCTGGACAGAGCTGCTTTTCTCCGGCTCTTGGGCGGCTTGGTGGATGAGTCTTCATATTCCTCAGCCAGGGAGAAGAGATCGCTGAACCTGAGAGAAAGAACACACCCTCAGCACATTCCTCCCAGCCTCTTCTCTGTCCTGGGCAGGACCCCTCCCCCACTGCTTCCCAAGGCCTTACTTCATCTTGTGGGCCTCGTCACAGCTTGCCTGCACGTGCTGCAGAGCCTGGAGAATTGGGGTCTGGCTAAAAACTAGAGGGAGGAGGAGGGAGAGCAGGGAAGGAAGGACAGTGAGTGGTCCAGAAACTCACTCAACTCTCCTGCCCCTGCCCCCACCCACTCTAGGGCTCGTCTGAGCCAGGGTCTGCAACGCATACAGTTCTGCTTGGTGTTGGTCAGGTTGAGGCGCAGGTTGTCCAAGTGCTCCAGGATCTGCTCCAGAGTCAGCTGGGCCAGCTTGCTGCTGGAGCTCCTCAGGCTGCAGGGAAGTCACACAGCCAGAGTCTGAGCTTGAGGGGAGGGCTCCAGGAGTGTGGGACACCCTCCCCACCAGGGCCCCTCCCGAAGACAGACGCAGCCCATATGGGGAAGGATGGGGTGGAACAGGGACCAGCCACCGGGCACGAGGGAAAGGGGGAAGGGCCAGAGTGGGCCCGCACACCATGTAGCTTCAGACCACTAGGTGTCACCCACTAACCAGGAAGGAATTGCCCTGGTGATGGCCTGTGGACAGTGGGCAGCCCTCCACAGGGCCCACGTCCCCCCTCTGCCTCTTGCTCCCACCTCTGCCTCTTGCGCGGGAGGCTGTTGTTCTTGATGAGCAGGGACTTGATGTGCTCGGCCAGCAGCTCGTCATGCTTCATGCACCAGTGCCGCAGGATGCTGGTGGTGAACTGGTCATCAGGGTGGCAGGGCCTGCTCAACACCATCTTCACCATCTCCTCGCTGGGCCTGGGGGTGTGAGAGGAGTGGAGGGCACCCTGCTCACACAGCTGGCCTGAGGATCCCCTGGTCTCTCCCACCTACTTACTCCCCAAACCTCAGCCCCCTACCCCCACCCGCGTTGCTGCAGCTTCCTGCTCTCACACCCTCTCCCTCTTCTCTCTGGGCCAAGGAATGCTGGTTTCATCCTTTGCCAAAGCCAGGAGACACAAGTGATTCTTCAGTTTCTGCAGTAGCAGCTGGTATGTATACTGGGGGGCGGCTCACCAAATCTCTCCCACCTTGCCCCGAACAGTCAGGAAATGGGCCAGGGAGGCAAAAGGACCACACAGTATCTAGCCCGAGAAGGCGCAGGGGAGGGGGCTGGCAAGCCACAGCCCTCAACCTGCCCACTTCCTTTAGGATGTTCTGTACCACTTCTGGTCTCTCGGGCAAGAGAGCAGAAAAGGTGGAAGGAAGGCAAGAAGGTAGAGAAGATACACAGCTGCTGTCCTACTTATCTGGGCTGTTGGGAAAGTGCCTGTGCTGGAGGGTGGAGGGGCCTCTGCTGGCTCCCCCTCCAGGCCCCACCCCTGTACTCTGACCCAGCCTCCTCTAGGATTAGCCTAGGGTGGCCTCAGCAGAGTAGGGGTGGGGAGCAGGAAACCAGGATGTCCGGTCCCCACCCCCTACTCCCTCCTCCCAGGGCAGCTCCTGGTGGGCAGGGGTGTAAAGTCAAGAGGAAGCCCAGATCCCAAGGGAGCTGCATGTTTGTAAATCATTTTAGGGGAAGGGCAGAATAAGTAGATGTCTACAGTAGAAAAAAGCATGGCCAGCCTCCTGAAGGAGCAGCCAGGAACCCTTTACAGGATGCTCTCTCTTGGTATGCTGTGACTGGGAGCTAGAGTCCCCGGAAGTAGAACTCACTTCTCTCTTCGGAGCTGAAGCAGCAGGCAAGACAGGGCCTCTGGGTGCTCTGTGGGGGAAGGCAGAGGCTGCTCAGAGGGTTGTAGAATTCCAGGAAGAATCTTGGTACCTCTCCCATCCCCCAGTTAATAGCCACTCAAAGGAGCAAGGACAGTCTTCCCCATGGAGCCAGGAAGAACAATCCCTTGCTTCTAGAAAATCCCGAGCGGCCTGAGCCCTAGCTCGTGCCTGGCTCAGAGTGGGCCTGCCTGCAGGACTCATCTGAAGAGCCTAAGTGACTGACCAGGGAGCCTGGCCTTCCGGACTTCGCTGGGAGGGGCAGCAGTGGGTCTGATCATCCAGAAGCCTAGGGGCCTCAGCCTTGCCCCAGAAGGACTGGGACGGTCCTTCCCTCAATTGTCCCTACCCACAGCCCTACTCACCTTTGTATTTGAGGTGCTGCAGGATGGGGATTATGGTCTCCAGGGGAATGTTGTGGGCCAGGAAGAGCTGCCAGGCACAGTACTGCTCAAAGGTCTCCCAGTCCAGGCTCTGGACTGCAGGGGACAGAGAAGGGGCGTGCTCACGCTTGCGCGCTCTCTCCTTCACACACACATAGGGCTACCTCACTGACTAACAGCATCCCAAGCAGGGGTGATACATAGGTGAGGACAGTGTCCCCAACACTACAGATACTCTCCCTTTCCACACAAAGCATTATTTTCAAAGACTTCACTTCACTCCTATAGTCCCACCAGCCCTGAGCTTAAGCAGATCCAGAAACACTGCCCAAGACCACAGAGCAGGGCAGAGTGATGGTCTACCCCATTCTCAGCCCGAGCCAGCTATGCTGTTACTAGAAAACATCCAGGGCTGCCACACGTCTCTTCCCCCCCGGGGTGCCTGCAGGGTCTGCTCACTTACTGAGTATGTTGAGGACAGAGTCCTTTCGAAACATAACCAGGTTCCCCATCATCACGTGGCAAACCAGCTCCTGGAGCTGAGGAGGAGGAGAAGGAAGAAGGCAAGACCCATTGGTTCTAAAAGAAGCCAGGAAGCCAGTATGGA